TCTACCTGAAACTCCAAATTAGGCCTGTCTTGAGTAGTTTCTGTACTTGATTTATCAAAAGAAAAAGGAGGAAAATGGCTCCATCTTTGTACTGGTGGGCAAAGGAAGCCCACCGGGGCACACCCGTGGTGGTGAAAATGGAGAACCCCAACAACTGGTCCATGGTGGAGCTGGAGTCGCCGTCGTACGAGGATTTCATGTACACAAATGACGCGGCCCCAAAGGGCGGCCGGAACAGGAACGCCAAGCAGCTCACATGGGTCATCCTCCTCAAGGCCCACCGCGCCGCCGGCTGCCTCGCCTCCATTGCCGCCGCCTCGATCTCCCTCGCCGCCGCCGTCCGCCGCCGAGTCGCCTCTGGTCGAACGGACTCCTCCGACTCGCCGGCGGCGGAGAACCCCGCCGTGAAGTCCAGATTCTATGCTTGCATCAAGATCGCTCTCTGGCTGTCCCTGCTCCTGCTGGGATTCGAAACTGCGGCGTATTTCAGGGGATGGCGCTTTGGGACCCATGATTTTCAGCTCGACCGGTTTTATGCTTTGGCCCATAGTTTTGCGGTTAGGGACGTGTTTGGCTTGCTCTATTCCAAGTGGGTTCTGATCAGGGTGGAGTATCTTGCTCCTCCTCTTCAGTTGCTAACCAATGTGTGTGTATTGCTATTCCTAATCCAGAGTCTGGATAGGCTAATCCTGTGTTTGGGTTGTTTCTGGATTAAAATCCGGAATATCAAGCCGGTTGCCAAACAGGGCCTTACCGATCTCGAGTCTGGAGATGGAGATGGCTATTTCCCCATGGTTTTAGTTCAGATTCCCATGTGCAACGAGAAAGAGGTAAAGAACCCTCCTTTTCTTGTATTATACATTTAGAAAATGCTACAATCCCGTTACATATAATTCCGTTGTTGTTCTTAACCTTAGATACATATGTAGAGATGTGTAGGTAATCTACGGTTGAAAACACCAACGGAACCATACTATAACGGGACGAGACTGTAGCCTTCTCCATACATTTATAGCTCTTTCTTTATTGGTAGTTTTGATGAAAGTTGTGGAAATAAGCAATTTTGTGATTGAGTTACTAGTGGCTTGAATTGATTGGTGTTCTATTATTTTTTTTTTTTTTTT